TGCCACCTCCTTCAGCAGCTGATGGTGAGAAATCATTTAATCTCCTTGGCAACCTTCAAGGTGCAGCTCCTCCCCCACTCAGCTCCTTCAGACTAGACAGCAGCAATTAGCAACCAGCTGAGCACATGATAGCAGTTGCTGCTCAGAGCAACACTGGTAAGTACGAACGTTACAGGGTTCATAACGGAGCCATGCTGGGATGACTTCCTGGAGGCGGCGCTTCAGAAAGAGCAGGGGCTTCTTAAAGAAACAGAGGCCCAATTTCAAAATGTTAAAACAGGAAATAACATTTGATACATGACAATTTTTAAATAATAACTGACAGTAAATAGTTGTGTTATAAAGTGGAACTATGTGCTGGAAAACAGAACACTGTCCCTTTAAAATGTCTGCCTGTTGTTCTCCTGTTCAGCCACAGGAGGCGCCACCACCGCCTACCAGAGGAGCAGCCGGAGGAGCAAAGAAGAGAAGAAGCAGAAAAAAAAGCAGCAGAAACACCGGAAGGAGAAGAAGGTAGAGGAAGATGAAGATGAAGAAGAGGAGCGTGGGCTCCTGCTGGCCCCGCCCTCAGCTTCTCTCTCTGTTTCTGCAGAAGAAGAAACACAGGAAGCACAAGGCGAAGCAGCAGAAGAAGAGTCGGGAGGAGGAGTCCAGCAGCTCTGAGGACGGCGAAAGCATTCAGCCGTCCACAGGCGACCTTCTGAGAAGGTCAGAGGTCACAGAGAGCTTCAGGGTTCTGTCGGGTCAAATCATCTTGTCCTAACCAGGCCTGTCTTTGACCCGGTTCCAGGCTGAAAAGCATCCGGACCCCAAACACCTGGTGACCCGCAGAGCCTCTCTTCTGCTGCTGCCTAATAAACTCCTGAATCATCTGACTGGTGGCGTGCCTTCATGGTCAGTCGGACTCTGTAGTGTCCTGCTGTGCACTTAGCGCAGCTGTGCTTAGAGCTGTGATTGGTCAGTTCCTGTCACCTGACCATGTTGAAGCGTTCCCATTGGGTCAAACATTTCTCCGTCAAGTCGAGGAGTTCCAGTTCCCGGAGGGAGGAAGAGGAGGAGGAAGAGCTGAAGGCCGGAAGAACCTGTAGAAAGCAAAAATATAAACACATATATACAAATATACAATAAAATGTATAAAAAATATATGACACACCAGTGACGTGCGGTCAGGGAGGCCGGTGAGGCAGTCTCACCTCATCATGGAGGTGAGACTAGGAAGATGATTTATATTGCTACTTTCATTCTGTGTTTTGTACCGTGAACAGGTTTTTTTCATTTAGCTTAATGAATTTAGGTTATTTTTTTTCTTCAAAGTCGCTGGATTTTCGCATTTTTCCGTTCAAATGTTGGGAAGGTGAGTTAGCAGTGAGCCGAGCCTCACCTGGACGGATCACCGTCTCACTACCTGCACTGGCTGCCAGTCTATGGCAGCAGGTTCTTCCTGTCTGACCGTCGACAATAAAATGGCTAAAAAACATTTAATGTATGAACTGATTTTCCATCATTTAGCTCGTATATGTAATATCCAGTGTTTGTTTGCCACCAACTGTGTGTGCAACGTGTTTCGTGCTCAGCTCTGGATCAGAAACCAGGGAACAGACTGGAGGTGAGGCAGGCAGTTCTCTGGCCGAATGGCAGGGGGCGCTCATGATCCCACACACAGACTCCACACTGCAGAGGAAGAGACAGCAACAGCGAGCTAGCCTTGGAGATAACCATGGAGTTAACCATGAAGCTAACCGTGGAGCTAGCCATGAAGCTAATGAAGCTAACCGTGGAGCTAGCCATGAAGCTAACCTTGGAGCTAGCCATGAAGCTAATGAAGCTAACCTTGGAGCTAGCCTTGGAGCTAACCACACAGTGAACAGGCGAAGCGGCACGACACGAGTCTCGGTGTAGCTTGTCCGATGCAAGGTGGTTTGAGTTGAGCTTCCATGCTGTGCTGCACTAAATGAATATCTATATGTCCAAGTTTCAATGAATTGATGGGGTTTTTCTACCGTGGCAGCGCAGCTATGGATAGTATGTGAAAGTAAAGTCTTTTTGCTCTGGTGTGCAAAGAACAAGGTCTGCGTTTTGCTCCAGAGTTTATGAAGGAAGACCGATTGGCAGGAGAAGAACTGCGGCCTAAGATCACCAAGACCAGATCCCAGGGTCAGGTGACCTTTTACAGAGGTCACATCGCAGTGATCAAAGCTTCATCTCCCTTCTGAGACTACAGATTATTCTGTTTATTACATCCTCCCATTATAGGGTTAAACAAAAGTCAGCACAGTTCTTCATTTTAATATTGATTTTTATCTCTTAAGTTGCTTGTCATAGTTAAACTGTTCTATATCTATATATCTATACAAACAGATTAAAGACGGGTCCTAAGGATGTTCTTTCTGAAACAAAAGATCGAGACATGATAACATCAGACTGGTGCAGGATTTACTGCACCAGACTTCTACAAGCCTTTGATGTGTTGGAACATCAGTTTATTTTCAAGGTTTTACACGTTTCTGTAGTATAATAAAAAGCTTATACCAGGAGCTCAGTTGCACTGCCACACGGTGCGTCTCCACGTCTCTCCATTCATTATTTCCCCGTTCTCTTCATCTTGGCTGTTGAAGTGATGAGTATTTTCATAAAAACTCCAATATACCGAAACTGAAAGTTTTAGATGACCAAATCATAATTAGTCAACTAGCTGATGACACCACATGATATTGAAGAATCCAGACCAAACCCCTAAAGTACTCCAGTTAATTAATATTTTCTCCAAAGCATCAGGATTAACCTCAAATCTGCAGAAGTGTGAACTGATGCGATTCATGACTCTGATCTGATGAAGCTTATAATATTCCCATTAAATCTTCAGTTAAATATCTTGGTATTTTAATGACTAAAGATGTTAAACTCAATGAAACCGTTAATAGAGAATAAAACACAGTTAAATCGATGTCTGCAGAGAGATCTGACCCTGTTGGGAGAACCTATTTAACCAAAGTGGAGTCGCTGAGCCGGTGCATTTACCCAGATTATTCTATGGCCATACCTAACAAATACATTAAAGCTATAAATCAGCTGAACTTTAGTTTCAGCTGGAAAAATCGAGTCCACTAGTTAAAGAAAGCAAATATGGTTCAAGACTTTAAAGATGGTGGTTTACAAGCCATAGACTTTAAATGTTTAAACGCTGTCTTAAAGGTAAATTGGTTAAAATCTTTTAATGAATGGAATCAGTGTCTGGTTTTGTTTCCCCAAGGTTTGTTTAAAAAAATAGGATGCATGGATTTTGTTCTTAGATGTGACTTTGATGTCAACAGACTTCCTGTTAAGTTAAGGTTTAAACTTCTGAACATGAACAGCTTTACTCCTCAGCAAACCCCCAACTGAACAATAGACAGAAATAAATCTCTATTTGGATCACTGGATGGAAAAAGGTATTTGGTCCATAAGACATTTTCTTAATGACAGTGGAGATTGGTTGTCTTATGATGAATTTTGCTTATTGTATAACTTGGTTTGCTCACACACTCAGTTTCATATGGTATTAAACTCCATCCCCTCTGCAGTCAGATATAAACATTAATCAGCTGACCTTCAGTTTCCAGCTCTTCAGCTGTTTGGATTTAATGACAAAAGTCATTCTAACAAACGGATGCGTCAGCATCTAACTAATATTATATTTCCTGTCCGACCAAATAAAAACTCCATTTTAAATTTATCTTCTGATTTTGAGGTTAATAAGTGGAGAACTGATTACCTTAAATATCCTCTGAGCCCTAAAGCTGAAGAAGTTCATTTTAAAATTCTCAACAACATTTTTCCATCCAGGAAACTTTTAAGACAAAGATTTAACTTCGACATGAACATTTGTACCTTTGTAACACTGACATTGAAACAACAGATCATCTTTTTTCTATTGTGTGCAAACTGCATCATTTTGGAGAACCTTTCAGGACTGGATCTCAACTAACTTTCCCTCCATCATCCCTTAAAAACAGAGGATGTAATATTTGGACCCACAAAGACAAAACCCGGCCTGGTTCTGAACAATCTGCTGATCCTCGCCAATTCTTCATCACTCTGTAAATAGAAAACCAAACTGTTCAGCCTTTAAAACCTTCTGATGGAAAAACGCTTCAGAACCTTAAAACTGATGGAAAACAAGCAGGGAATGAAACTTTTGGACGCTCATAACGACCTGACTTTATTTGACAACTAAAATAAATTCTTTTTTCTCTTTTCGCTGTTTTGTTTTTGTTCAGTAATCTCTGATGTCTGAATGATTTGATTTATTTCACTTCTTTATTTTGTTATTATCTTTTAGTTATATGTTGCCTGAAGCCTGATTGTATATATTTGTATAATTGTTAAGTAATTAATAAAAAAAAGTCTTCGCTCTTCATGTTTGTCCGCATGCGCGAAATGTCTATATGTAAACAATGCCATGCAGCAGGCCTGATGACGTCAGAGCCTGACCGCACGTCACTGTGACGCACATGTGGAACATTTTAAGAATGTATTTTATATGTAACGTTTTTATCCCACGTGTTCAGCTTTTTGAACAGTTTGTCCTTGAACGCACCGTCTCAAACACGTTGCTATGGCAACGGCGAACCAGCGGCTTCGTCAGCTGAGCGTTTTTTTGTTTCGCTTTATTTGAAATAAGTTGGCAGAAGATGGAGCCTGAGGAGCTGCAGGAGCCTCCTGCAGGAGGAGGAGGAGGAGGAGGAGGAGGAGGAAGAGGAGGAGGAAGAGGGAGGAGGAGGAGGAGGAGGAGGAGGAGGAGGAGAGGAGGAAGAGGAGGAGGAGGAGGAGGAGGAGGAGGAGGAGGAGGAAGAGGAAGAGGAAGAGGAGGAGGAGGAGGAGGAGGAGGAGGAAGAGGAAGAGGAGGAGGAGGAGGAGGAGGAGGAGGAGGAAGAGGAGGAGGAGGAGGAGGAGAGGAGGAGGAAGAGGAAGAGGAGGAGGAAGAGGAAGAGGAAGAAAGACCGGAGGAGGAGGAGGAGGGAGCAGACTGGAGCGCAGAGCCTCAGGTGAGTCCTACCTGTACCAGTTAGCTTTAGCTTTAGCTACTGTTGAAATTGAATTTAAAGTAGCACAATAGCACACAGGCTAATCTTTACTTTAAGATAAATTTAGATAAAGATCCAAACTAAAACAACTGAATCTGACTCTGAACTTATATTAATTCTTAGGGAGGATTTGACAGAAACAGCCTAGAATCTCTTTACACAGAGAGTCTGTCTGCCAGGCAGTGAACAGATTCCTGAGCATGGTTCAAAAGTTCACTAGGATCTTAACACTTTTTATAAATAATTTTATCTTTATTAGAATATATTTCTTTAAGCATGTTTTGAATTAGTTACTTATTAGATCCAAAGTTATAGTCATTATTTAGCATTACATTTTGTGCAAGCTTGGTTAAAAATACAAACTATTTTCTTGTGGAATCATTTGAGTCAGAAAACTAAAACATTTAGCTCAGGGAGAGTTGCAGGAGACGCCTGGTACGGCAGAGACCCAGTTGGACGATCCATATATCAGGAGGTAATAAAATCAATGGGAAGGCCCACAAAGGAAAACACACACCTCCTAATGCATATATTTAAATGAGGAGAATACACATTATTATAAAATGGTTTTGTTTTACAGCAGGAGTTCAAATCTCTTTGTGCTGAGTGAGAGTTTCCCAGAAGATGCATCTTTTGTTTGTTTCTGTTTCTGTTTCTGTCCTTTTTACTCAGTTCATTGTTTCTGTTTTGTCATGTCTTGGACTTTTGATGATGATCTAGGTGAGATGCTTATTGTAACATTCTTCTTGCATTGATTTTCTCTGGATAAAACTCTGGATATCTAAAGTCTGACGTCGTATGATTGCTCTTTCTCCCTGCACATTTATACAGACACAAGAACCTAGGACAAGAGGAATGAATTAACGAGCTAAATCAAGTTATTCCTCTTTTACTTCTTAACACTACATTCAGCGTCGCTTTTTCTGGTCTGTGAACAAAAGTCTGTCCATTAAGGTGACGTCATCTCTGAACAAAATATTCACTTTGAAAGAGCAAAAGAAATGATTTAACTCCTGGTTCAAGAAAGATTTCACCTTTTATTTGTGTAACAGAAAATGTGTTTCATACTGGAGGAAAAAATCAGTGCGTTCCCCGGCAGGGCCGGCCCAAGGCATACGCAAACTAATCAGCCGTTTAGGGCCACCGTGGGGCCCCTCAGTGGAGCTGATTGATTTTAGTAATAATTTCTGTCATTATAATATCAAAAACACAAAATTTCACCATGAATTGATTTGTTTTTACAATAAAGTCTGTAGAAATCATTATTTCCACATACAGTTTATATCAGGTGTGTGAATAATGTAATGATGGGACTGCTGCTTGCAGCCGCTCCACAAGTTAGCAGAACCAGGGACTCAAACCACATTTGGCTTAGAGCCCCATGGAGGCTTGGACCGGCCCTCTGCTCTGCCCACCCCACTCTGCCCCGCCCCGCTTTGCCCCACCCCACTCTGCCCCGCCCGCTTTGCCCCGCCCCACTCTGCCCCACCCCACTTTGCCCCACCCCGCTTTGCCCCGCCCCACTCTGCCCCACCCCACTTTGCCCCACCCCGCTTTGCCCCGCCCCACTCTGCCCCGCCCCGCTTTGCCCCGCCTCCCCAGGAAGCAACAGAAGAAGCTGATCAGCTGATCATGCTGCAGCCAGAAAAATCAGCTGGTCTGCTGCAGCTCTCCCAGTCTGAAACTGGTTCTGTGCTGCAGGTTCCAGTGAAGGTGCTGCATGCTCACGGTGATGACGTCACCACAGCCCGGTTCTGTTGCGGCGACCGCAACATCCTGAGCTGCTCATTGGACGGCAGCGCCATCCTCTGGGTAAACTGCCGCTCTGCACTGGTCTTGCTGTGTGGCTCTGCACTGACCTCCGACCTCTGCAGGACGCGGAGAGCGGCCGGCCTCTGAGGCTGTTTGCTGGAGTTCACAGCAGAGCCATCACTGAGTGTGCTCTGATCCACCAGCAACAGGTTGGGCTCACACCACCTACAGCTGGAGTCTGATAATTTACACTGATCCAGGTCAACAGACTGACCTTAAGGTGTGTGTGTGTCTCTGTGTGTCTCTGTGTGTCTCTGTGTGTCTCTCTGTGTGTCTCTGTGTGTCTCTGTGTGTGTCTCTGTGTGTGTCTCTGTGTGTGTCTCTGTGTGTGTGTCTCTGTGTGTCTCTCTGTGTGTCTCTGTGTCTGTGTGTCTCTGTGTGTCTCTGTGTGTGTGTCTCTGTGTGTCTCTGTGTGTGTGTGTCTCTGTGTGTCTCTGTGTGTGTGTGTGTGTCTCTGTGTGGTGTGTGTGTGTGTGTCTCTGTGTGTGTGTCTCTGTGTGTGTGTGTGTCTCTGTGTGTGTGTGTGTCTCTGTGTGTCTCTGTGTGTCTCTGTGTGTGTGTGTCTCTGTGTGTGTGTGTGTCTCTGTGTGTGTGTGTGTCTCTGTGTGTGTGTCTCTGTGTGTGTGTCTCTGTGTGTGTGTCAGGATGGTGACGGTGTCCTGGGACAGGAAGATGGTGGCCTGGGACCTGGAGACAGGACGTGTCCTGGTACCTGCTGTCCTCCTCCCGCCCCTGCGGGGAGGACGGCCTGCTGACCGTCTCCGCTCTGTCTGTCCAGTGGGAGACGCAGTTGGACGGCCTGCTGACGTCCTGCAGCTGCTCGTCTGACGGCCGGCTGCTGGCCTGCGCCGCCGAGCCTCAGGAAATTGTCTTCATCTGCAGCACCTCCGGTGGCCAGATGTTGCATCGCATCAACAGTAGGACGGCGTCTCGGCGCACCGGACTCCGCCCGTCCCTGTGAGACGTTCACGTGCCGCTCTTGTCCCCCCGCAGACCACCACCGCTCCACCATCACACGGGTCCGCTTCGACCCTGTGGACCAGCGGTGGCGTCGGTGTCCGCAGACCGGACCGTCAAGCTGTGGGACGCTCAGGCTAAGAGGACGACCATGTCCATCAGCAGGTTGGCGCGGCGCAGCTCTCTGTGCTCCAGGGGGCGCTGTTGTCCGTTCTCTCCATCAGAACCTCTCAGGTCCTGTTCAGTAGAAAGTTCTATCATTGACTCATCCTGAACAAGCATGTGGTGAGAGTGGAGAGGAACAACAGGGACAACCTCGCAGAATGACAACGGTTTCCATGGCGATAGAAAGTACCCCAGGTCTCATCATCTGTTGCTCTCTCCCTCAGTAACCATAGCAACGTGATTTCCAGCTGCTGCTTCAACGGCAACGGGCACTTCCTGTGCACGGCATCATGGGATAGGACGCTGAAGCTCTGGGACCTGCAGGGGGAGAATTCCGGTCTCAAGGTGGCGCCGTGCTGGAGCGCGGCCATGAGGGCAGCGTGAGCTGCTGCGTGCTGTCGGCTGACGGTGAGGCGTTCAGGGACGGTGAGGCGTTCGGGGACAGTGAGGCGTTCGGGGACGGCGAGGCTTTCAGTGAGGCGTTCAGGGACAGTGAGGCGTTCGGGGACGGCGAGGCTTTCAGTCAGGCGTTCAGGGACGGTGAGGCGTTCAGGGACGGTGAGGCGTTCGGGGACAGTGAGGCGTTCAGGGACAGTGAGGCGTTCAGGGACGGCGAGGCTTTCAGTGAGGCGTTCAGGGACAGTGAGGCGTTCAGGGACAGTGAGGCGTTCAGGGACGGTGAGGCGTTCAGGGACGGTGAGGCGTTCAGAGACAGTGAGGCGTTCAGTGAGGCGTTCAGGGACAGTGAGGCGTTCAGGGACGGTGAGGCGTTCGGGGACGGTGAGGCGTTCAGGGACGGTGAGGCGTTCGGGGACGGTGAGGCGTTCAGTGAGGCGTTCAGGGACAGTGAGCGTTCAGGGACGGTGAGGCGTTCGGGGACGGTGAGGCGTTCAGGGACGGTGAGGCGTTCGGGGACGGTGAGGCGTTCAGTGAGGCGTTCAGGGACAGTGAGGCGTTCAGGGACGGTGAGGCGTTCAGTGAGGCGTTCAGGGACAGTGAGGCGTTCGGGGACAGTGAGGCGTTCAGGGACGGTGAGGCGTTCAGGGACAGTGAGGCGTTCAGGGACGGTGAGGCGTTCAGTGAGGCGTTCAGGGACAGTGAGGCGTTCGGGGACAGTGAGGCGTTCAGGGACGGTGAGGCGTTCAGAGACAGTGAGGCGTTCGGGGACGGCGAGGCTTTCAGTGAGGCGTTCAGGGACAGTGAGGCGTTCGGGGACAGTGAGGCGTTCGGGACAGTGAGGCGTTCGGGACAGTGAGGCTTTCGGGGACAGTGAGGCGTTCGGGGACGGTGAGGCGTTCGGGGACGGTGAGGCGTTCAGGGACAGTGAGGCGTTCAGGGACAGTGAGGCGTTCGGGGACGGCGAGGCTTTCAGTGAGGCGTTCAGGGACAGTGAGGCGTTCAGGGACAGTGAGGCGTTCGGGGACAGTGAGGCGTTCGGGACAGTGAGGCGTTCGGGGACAGTGAGGCGTTCGGGGACAGTGAGGCGTTCAGGGACGGCGAGGCTTTCAGTGAGGCGTTCAGGGACAGTGAGGCGTTCAGGGACAGTGAGGCGTTCAGGGACGGTGAGGCGTTCAGGGACAGTGAGGCGTTCAGGGACGGCGAGGCTTTCAGTGAGGCGTTCAGGGACAGTGAGGCGTTCAGGGACAGTGAGGCGTTCAGGGACAGTGAGGCGTTCGGGGACAGTGAGGCGTTCGGGGACAGTGAGGCGTTTGGGGACGGTGAGGCGTTCAGGGACGGTGAGGCTTTCAGTGAGGCGTTCAGGGACAGTGAGGCGTTCAGAGACGGCGAGGCTTTCAGTGAGGCGTTCAGGGACAGTGAGGCGTTCAGGGACGGTGAGGCGTTCAGTGAGGCGTTCAGGGACGGTGAGGCGTTCGGGGACAGTGAGGCGTTCAGAGACGGCGAGGCTTTCAGTGAGGCGTTCAGGGACAGTGAGGCGTTCAGGGACAGTGAGGCGTTCAGGGACGGCGAGGCTTTCAGTGAGGCGTTCAGGGACAGTGAGGCGTTCAGGGACAGTGAGGCGTTCGGGGACAGTCAGGCGTTCAGGGACGGTGAGGCGTTCAGTGAGGCGTTCAGGGACAGTGAGGCGTTCAGGGACAGTGAGGCGTTCGGGGACAGTGAGGCGTTCGGACAGAGAGGCATTCAGGGACAGTGAGGCGTTCAGGACAGTGAGGCGTTCAGGGACAGTGAGGCGTTCGGGGACAGTGAGGCGTTCAGGGACAGTGAGGCGTTCGGGGACAGTGAGGCGTTCAGGGACAGTGAGGCGTTCAGGGACAGTGAGGCGTTCGGGGACAGTGAGGCGTTCAGGGACGGCGAGGCTTTCAGTGAGGCGTTCAGGGACAGTGAGGCGTTCAGGGACGGTGAGGCGTTCGGGGACAGTGAGGCGTTCAGGGACAGTGAGGCGTTCGGGGACAGTGAGGCGTTCGGGGACAGTGAGGCGTTCGGGGACAGTGAGGCGTTCAGGGACGGTGAGGCGTTCGGGGACAGTGAGGCGTTCGGGGACAGTGAGGCGTTCAGGGACGGTGAGGCGTTCGGGGACAGTGAGGCGTTCGGGGACAGTGAGGCGTTCAGGGACAGTGAGGCGTTCAGGGACGGTGAGGCGTTCGGGGACAGTGAGGCGTTCAGGGACGGCGAGGCTTTCAGTGAGGCGTTCAGGGACAGTGAGCGTTCAGGGACGGTGAGGCGTTCAGTGAGGCGTTCAGGGACAGTGAGGCGTTCAGGGACAGTGAGGCGTTCAGGGACGGCGAGGCTTTCAGTGAGGCGTTCAGGACAGTGAGGCGTTCAGGGACAGTGAGGCGTTCGGGGACAGTCAGGCGTTCAGGGACGGTGAGGCGTTCAGTGAGGCGTTCAGGGACAGTGAGGCGTTCAGGGACAGTGAGGCGTTCGGGGACAGTGAGGCGTTCGGGGACAGAGAGGCATTCAGGGACAGTGAGGCGTTCAGGGACAGTGAGGCGTTCAGGGACAGTGAGGCGTTCGGGGACAGTGAGGCGTTCAGGGACAGTGAGGCGTTCGGGGACAGTGAGGCGTTCAGGGACAGTGAGGCGTTCAGGGACAGTGAGGCGTTCGGGGACAGTGAGGCGTTCAGGGACGGCGAGGCTTTCAGTGAGGCGTTCAGGGACAGTGAGGCGTTCAGGGACGGTGAGGCGTTCGGGGACAGTGAGGCGTTCAGGGACAGTGAGGCGTTCGGGACAGTGAGGCGTTCGGGACAGTGAGGCGTTCGGGGACAGTGAGGCGTTCAGGGACGGTGAGGCGTTCGGGACAGTGAGGCGTTCGGGACAGTGAGGCGTTCAGGGACGGTGAGGCGTTCGGGGACAGTGAGGCGTTCGGGGACAGTGAGGCGTTCAGGGACAGTGAGGCGTTCAGGGACGGTGAGGCGTTCGGGGACAGTGAGGCGTTCAGGGACGGCGAGGCTTTCAGTGAGGCGTTCAGGGACAGTGAGGCGTTCAGGGACGGTGAGGCGTTCAGTGAGGCGTTCAGGGACAGTGAGGCGTTCGGGGACAGTGAGGCGTTCGGGGACGGTGAGGCGTTCAGTGAGGCGTTCAGGGACAGTGAGGCGTTCAGGGACAGTGAGGCGTTCGGGGACAGTGAGGCGTTCAGTGAGGCGTTCAGGGACGGTGAGGCGTTCAGGGACGGTGAGGCGTTCAGTGAGGCGTTCAGGGACAGTGAGGCGTTCGGGGACAGTGAGGCGTTCGGGACAGTGAGGCGTTCAGTGAGGCGTTCAGGGACGGTGAGGCGTTCGGGGACAGTGAGGCGTTCAGGGACGGCGAGGCGTTCAGGGACAGTGAGGCGTTCGGGGACAGTGAGGCGTTCAGGGACGGCGAGGCTTTCAGTGAGGCGTTCAGGGACAGTGAGGCGTTCGGGGACAGTGAGGCGTTCAGGGACGGCGAGGCTTTCAGTGAGGCGTTCAGGGACAGTGAGGCGTTCAGGGACGGTGAGGCGTTCAGTGAGGCGTTCAGGGACAGTGAGGCGTTCGGGGACAGTGAGGCGTTCAGTGAGGCGTTCAGGGACGGTGAGGCGTTCAGTGAGGCGTTCAGGGACAGTGAGGCGTTCAGGGACGGTGAGGCGTTCAGTGAGGCGTTCAGGGACAGTGAGGCGTTCGGGGACAGTGAGGCGTTCAGTGAGGCGTTCAGGGACGGTGAGGCGTTCGGGGACAGTGAGGCGTTCAGGGACAGTGATGCTTTTAGTGAGGCGTTCAGGGACAGTGAGGTTCAGACTAAATCCTGCATCCAGAGGAATCTGCAGCTCCTTCTGAAACAGTTTTTGTGCCTCCAACATGATTTTCAGAAACACTGAGTTGCACGGGAACGTCCCACTAAAACCATTCGGTTGATGACGGACCAGCCCGGTTCTGCTAACCTGGTTCTGGTCCTTCCTGTCTCCCTCGTGTCCTCAGGTGACATGTTGGTGTCCGGCTCCTACGACCGGACCGTGGCGCTGTGGATCCGTCCTCGCTCCGCCGGACTCTGGTTCTGAGGGTGAGGAGAACCCTCCGCTTGTTTCCCGAGGAGACGAAGATCAGCTGATTTCTGTTAATCAGCTGATGTGTGTTTACTTCCAGGGCCACTCTGATTGGGTGACGGACGTGTCTCTCAGCGCTGACAGGAAGCTGCTTGTGTCTTCTTCCAAGGTTGACTTCCTGTTTCTTAAAGACAAACTGGACTTTTAGGAAGTATTCACATTTCCTCAGCCTGCAGTATTTTGTTTTAACCAGCAGGAGGCAGAGCAGAGCTGAGAAGTGAACATGGTTTTTAACAATCTGAAAAGTGTGGCATGTCTTTGAGTTTGCGCTCAGGGCGCCCCTTCTTCTGAAAGGGTGTAAATACTTTAGTGCAGGGTGTCAAACTCCAGTCCCGGGGGCCACTGGAGGCCCTTCAACCTTTAGAGGAGCCTTTAGATGAGACTGCTGACCTATGACCTCATTATTCTGCATCACCTGAGAATAATGAGGTCATAGGCTGTGGAGATCTGATCCACACTGGAGGAGGTGATGAAGCCGTTTCATTCCAGTGTTTTGTACATGCGGCTCATCTAAAACCTGCAGGACTGGAGTTTGACAGCTGTGCTTCAGGCCGTCCTCCGGCTTGGCTGCGCGTTAACCTTTGACCTTTGACGTGCAGGACGGCAGCGTCCGGCTGTGGGACGTGCAGAACGTGGAGCAGATCCCCGAGGTGATGCAGATCAAAAGCGGAGAGGGAACCGGGGTCCAGATCCTGAAGGTGTGGACGTTTTCTGGCGACCCGGTTCTGGCGACCCGGTTCTGGCGACCCGGTTCTGGCGACCATGTTGATGAACATGCTCTTCTCTGGTTGCCATGACGACGCTCTCGCTCTCTGCAGTGTGAAGAGTGTGGAAGGCCGTTCCCGGTGTCCAGACTGCTGACCTCTGACCTGCTGACGAGTTGCGTCTTCTGCCGCCTCAAAGCTCCGCCCACGTCCCGCCTCCAGCCGCCGCTGTCTCCCTGCCCGTCCTCTGATTGGTGGAGAGCGCAGTGACGCCTGATGAGCTCAGGAACAGGAGCAGAGTGAGCATCCCCCGTTTGCTGCGTACGAGATCTTCGGATGGAACCGCTCCTCTGATCACAGATTCTGTGTCATGACCCAGTGAACACTTTCTCTCTGATATTTGACCTTTGACCTGCTGTTCTTTTCAGGTTTAAATTTGAATTTTTTTCCTAAATTGCATCATTTTTGGTTAGTTTTTTAATCTGAGGTCTGGAAGTGAAAAAACAAAATAAACAAAATCCTTCAATAAGGTAAATATGCATTCATTGTCAGGATTGGGGGCGGGGCTCCCTCTGGACCGGTCCGTGTGATTGGTCTGCAGGAAACACTCTGCTGCCCGACCAATCAGATGGCAGCATCTCATGATTGGAAACAGGAAACGATGATGCTCTGGGTCAGAGTTTCCTTCATTGCAGCGGCTTCCGCTTTGTTCAGTGAGATTGTCAGTCTGCAGATTATGTCAGTCTGCATTATGTCAGTCTGCAGATTATGTCAGTCTGCAGATTATGTCAGTCTGCAGATTATGTCAGTCTGCAGACTGGCTGTGGTTGAACTTTGTCTATTTTCTCTCTGATTTGGGCCAATAAATCTACCATCACCAGGAAACATTGAACATTCTAATCTGACTGTCTTCCTTAGTTTCTTTTTATGGAACTGATCAGTGAAATATTTGGAATAAAGATCTGAAAGCAGCAGCGACATGAACAGGAAGTAGAGACGACAGCGGCTGAGATATTTGTGGGTTTTATTGAGCAGGCGGCGGCATCAGAAGGTGCTCTGCAGCAGGCAGCGGCAGCCGCAGCCGGCCGGACACTCGTCCTGGCGCCGGAACCAGTCCATCATGTGTCCGGTATGGCCGCCGTGGCCGCAGCTCAGGCAGAAGTTGGAGGAGCCGCGCACGGCGACGTGGCACACGGCGCACTGGAAGGTCAGCCGCTTGCACACGGCGCACTGCGTCCCGCGCGCCTGGCTGCGGCAGTGGCAGCAGTACAGCCCGAACTCTGCAGGGAAACGGACCCGTCAGAACCAGAACCCGACCCGGCCGGACCGCTGAAGGAAACGTACCGATGCCTTTGTGAGGTTCTGGCGGGCCGGCCGTGAACTTGAGGACGTCGGCCCGCTTGTCGCCCAGACCCCAGCGGTACAGGATTTCACCGTAGCTCTTCTTGAAGTCGTCGAACTGCAGCGTGTTGGCCGGGTCCAGCAGCCTGGCAGGAACAGGAAGTGACATCACCGCAACAACAGCTCTGGCTGGAACAGCTGTGACCGCGAGGGGCGTTGGCGTGCAACTACGTCTTGAGGCTGAACACTGACGGAGATCACATCGTCAGTGTTCAGCCTCGGCTGTTGTTTCTGCCGCCATTTTGTCCGTTACGTCTGACTTTTAACCCTCAAATAACCGACATCACACGGGTCGCAAATTATTCTGGGCAGAATAATCTTTGACCTCTGACACCTGTAGAACCAACATTTCTATCACCTTAGCACTGCAATCTGGGTGTATTTATATATGTATCCCTCAAATAGCCAAATTCACTCTGATTATGACGTAATCTGTAACATGGAAGTACGTTTTCAAGACGTACTTGCTCACCATCGCCTCCTGTGGTCACAGAAAATGATGCAACACCTGATCTGCTAAGCGGTCCAAAGGAAGACTGAAGCCTTGATTCAGAGCCGAGGAGCAAACCCACCTCTTGTTCATGTCGTGCAGCTCCCGCTCTCGCTCCCGAGGGTCTGTGTAGCTCTGGCTGCCATAGCGATAGTCATCAGGAGAAGACTCCCCCCAGGGGGCGGGATGCTCGGGTCTCTGACTGAAACAGACAAAAAGGGTTGGAGCGGCCTGTAGGGGGAGCTGTGGAGGTTGGGGTGGCCTGTAGGGGGAGCTATGGAGGTTGGGGTGGCCGGTGGGGGGAGCTGTGGAGGTTGGGGTGGCCTGTAGGGGGAGCTGTGGAGGTTGGGGTGGCCTGTAGGGGGAGCTGTGGAGGTTGGGGTGGCCTGTAGGGGAGCTGTGGAGGTTGGGGTGGCCTGTAGGGGGAGCTGTGGAGGCTCACCTGTGGTCCAGGTGGCTGTGATGGAGTCGGAGGTGCTGGAACAGGAGCCGGATGTCACGGAGCTGGAGGTGTAGCTGGGCTGAACACAGAGAAGGAACATCACTGAATCTGCTCCAGGCTCAGCAGCAGGGGCGCTCCAACCACACGCTGACTTACATATCGGGAGTGGAGGCGGGAGCCGGGGTCCGTACAGAGAGTAGCAGTCAGGGGGCGGAGCCTGAGCCCTGAACACGCTGCAGAGCATGGCCAGAGTCTGGACGTCGCTCATCTGACTGTAGTGATCCAAACTGATGGGTTATAATAGAAACAGCTCAGCGTTTACATTCCTCCACACCAACATATGATCACCTTCTGCAAACTCACAGCGTCTCCAGCAGGTGGCGCCCAAACGGGTGTCTGGCCCAGGGCGTCTCTGTGTCCGGGTCAGAATCAGGACTCAGGTCCTGACTGGTGGCGGCGGACGCCAGAGCCCAAACCTGCACAGCACAGGCAGGGAGGGGGAAGGTTGTGGACCACCAGGACACTGGAGACGTTCAGGCCGTGTGAAAACTTCTGAGAACCTGGGAGGAGATGGATTCACGCTCACCTTGGCCAGGTCTCTGCGTCCCACTGCAAGTGCTGCTGCTGCGTTCTTCTGACAGGTTTCCTGAATGTCGTTCATGTTCAGACTGAGGAAGACAAACAGATGTTCAGGTTGGACGGCGCGATGACGCCTTCGTCTTTCATCCAGACCGTCGCTCAGCAGATGCAACCGCATGCCCCCATCCTGCAGGGGTTCTGTGAGGCGGACGCTTGGCTTTGTATCGAGAGGATGGAGACAGCTGGTTCGGGTCTGGGGACAGTGTCTCTGGGGACATGTGAGGACGAAGGGACTCACATGTAGCTCTCTCCCAGAGCCTTGTGCACAGGCAGCAGGCAGGAGATCTCCTGGATGATGACCTTCCCGGCCAGCTTGGTGGGCCGGCTGCTGTACTCCGCTCCTTCCCGCTTCGTCTTGAAGCGCCGCGATTTCTGACGGAGACACGGACAGACAGGAGGACGGGGACGGCCGGCCGAGGAGAAAACAGCAGCTGATTAAACAGCTTCAGGATCACAGCAGAGGCTGTTCACACCGAGTGTCCGGACCACCGGAACCACCGCAGGATCTCTGGATCCAGTAAGTGGACCTCAGCTGCACGGATGGTCTAGCAGAACCGCGTAGTCTGGACCCGATTCACCAGCAGGTGCAGGCTGCTGGTTCTGCCGATCTCAGTGTGAACATCTCGTCAGCTTTAGGAGCCAAATTACTTCATAGCAGGTGAGACGCAACTCACCTGGACAGGTCAAAGGTTAGTAAGGACAGCAGACAGGAGGCACTGAGTTAGCTTAGCTTATGTGTTCAAAACGGACCAAGAACACCCAGTCCAGAACCCCGGGTCGGTTCTGCTCAGCTCAGAGGGAAAAGAGCTTATGTTTGGGCCAGAAATGAAATGTTTTTGGCTCCTTTATTTGAAAGCTGGTGATGAGAGGCAAAGATCAACAGGGCGGGAATCGAACCTGCGACAGCCTTATGTGGGCTGTGCTTAACCCCAACCCAGAAATGAATTTCTACCAGACAAAATTAAATATCTGGGTTTATTTGAGTCCATCAGAACTGAGCTTTGATCAGAACCGGACCACACAGTCACCGGTCAGAGAGAGACTTGCCAGTGGAAATCGCCTTTTGGTCCAGTTTGATGGTTTCTTCTTGTTTCAACTGGAAACAGTCCAACAGCTACTGGTTCCCAGTCAAGAACCAGAAGCTCTGCCTCTTCCTGACCGTCCAGACTGGAGGACAGAACCAGGTCCAGTCAGAACCAGAATCCTGGATCTGCCAGCAGCAGCTGTGGGCGGAGCTTGCTGACCGGTCCCACTCTGCACTTTGGTGGACCGGTTCCGGAGGAACACCGGCGCCACCTTCAGGAATGGCAGGGGAAGCGTTACGCTCCGAGGAAATAGGTCAGAACCATAAACCAGTAGAATAAATCCAGGTAAGCCCAAAAGCAGCAGAGCCCAAACCGTCCGGCACCAACATCCAGTTGTTCTCCCAGCAGCCGCTGAGATCCGCCTCACAACACCAAGACACAGAAACTGGATATGAAACCATGTTGATCATTTCTATACAAATATCCATCAGTTTCGATCAGAAATGATAGAAAACCTGATGCAGGGAGCAGGTTACTGGTTTCAGTAGGTTACTGGTTTCAGTAGGTTACTGGTTTCAGTAGGTTACTGGTTTCAGCAGGTTACTGGTTTCAATAGGTTACTGGTTTCAATAGGTTACTGGTTTCAGTAGGTTACTGGTTTCAGCAGGTTACTGGTTTCAATAGGTTACTGGTTTCAGTAGGTTACTGGTTTCAATAGGTTACTGGTTTCAGTAGGTTACTGGTTTCAGTAGGTTACTGGTTTCAGTAGGTTACTGGTTTCAATAGGTTACTGGTTTCAGTAGGTTACTGGTTTCAGCAGGTTACTGGTTTCAGTAGGTTACTGGTTTCAATAGGTTACTGGTTTCAGTAGGTTACTGGTTTCAGCAGGTTACTGGTTTCAATAGGTTACTGGTTTCAGTAGGTTACTGGTTTCAGTAGGCTACTGGTTTCAATAGGTTACTGGTTTCAGTAGGTTACTGGTTTCAGCAGGTTACTGGTTTCAATAGGTTACTGGTTTCAGTAGGCTACTGGTTTCAACAGGTTACTGGTTTCAGTAGGTTACTGGTTTCAATAGGTTACTGGTTTCAGTAGGTTACTGGTTTCAGTAGGTTACTGGTTTCAACAGGTTACTGGTTTCAGCAGGTTACTGGTTTCAGTAGGTTACTGGTTTCAGTAGGTTACTGGTTTCAACAGGTTACTGGTTTCAACAGGTTACTGGTTTCAGTAGGTTACTGGTTTCAGTAGGTTACTGGTTTCAGTAGGTTACTGGTTTCAGTAGGTTACTGGTTTCAGTAGGTTACTGGTTTCAACAGGTTACTGGTTTCAACAGGTTACTGGTTTCAGTAGGTTACTGGTTTCAGTAGGTTACTGGTTTCAACAGGTTACTGGTTTCAGTAGGTTACTGGTTTCAACAGGTTACTGGTTTCAGTAGGTTACTGGTTTCAGTAGGTTACTGGTTTCAACAGGTTACTGGTTTCAGCAGGTTACTGGTTTCAATAGGTTACTGGTTTCAATAGGTTACTGGTTTCAGTAGGTTACTGGTTTCAATAGGTTACTGGTTTCAACAGGTTACTGGTTTCAGTAGGTTACTGGTTTCAACAGGTTACTGGTTTCAATAGGTTACTGGTTTCAGTAGGTTACTGGTTCAATAGGTTACTGGTTTCAACAGGTTACTGGTTTCAGTAGGTTACTGGTTTGAGCAGGTTACTGGTTTCAGTAGGTTACTGGTTTGAGCAGGTTACTGGTTTCAGCAGGTTACTGGTTTCAATAGGTTACTGGTTTCAATAGGTTACTGGTTTCAGTAGGTTACTGGTTTCAATAGGTTACTGGTTTCAACAGGTTACTGGTTTCAGCAGGTTACTGGTTTCAATAGGTTACTGGTTTCAATAGGTTACTGGTTTCAATAGGTTACTGGTTTCAGTAGGTTACTGGTTTCAATAGGTTATTGGTTTCAATAGGTTACTGGTTTCAGCAGGTTACTGGTTTCAGTAGGTTACTGGTTTCAATAGGTTACTGGTTTCAGTAGGTTACTGGTTTCAGTAGGTTACTGGTTTCAACAGGTTACTGGTTTCAGTAGGTTACTGGTTCAATGGGTTACTGGTTTCAGCAGGTTACTGGTTTCAATAGGTTACTGGTTTCAGTAGGTTACTGGTTTCAATAAGTTACTGGTTTCAATAAGTTACTGGTTTCAATAAGTTACTGGTTTCAATAGGTTACTGGTTTCAGCAGGTTACTTGTTTCAGTACGTTACTGGTTTCAGCAGGTTACTGGTTTCAGTAGCTTACTGGTTTCAACAGGTTACTGGTTTCAGTAGGTTACTGGTTTCAGCAGGTTACTAGTTTCAGCAGTTTACTGGTTTCAGTAGGTTACTGTTTTCAGTAGGTTACTGGTTTCAGGAGGTTACTGGTTTCAGCAGGTTACTGGTTTCAGTAGCTTACTGGTTTCAGTAGGTTACTGGTTTCAGTAGCTTACTGGTTTCAGCAGGTTACTGGTTTCAATAGGTTACTGGTTTCAATAGGTTACTGGTTTCAGTAGGTTACTGGTTTCAATAAGTTACTGGTTTCAATAGGTTACTGGTTTCAACAGGTTACTGGTTTCAGTAGGTTACTGGTTTCAGCAGGTTACTGGTTTCATTAGTTTACTGGTTTCAACAGGTTACTGGTTTCAGTAGGTTACTGGTTTCAGCAGGTTACTGGTTTCAGCAGTTTACTGGTTTCAGGAGGTTACTGGTTTCAGGAGGTTACTGGTTTCAGCAGGTTACTGGTTTCAGTAGCTTACTGGTTTCAGCAGGTTACTGGTTTCAGCAGGTTACTGGTTTCAGGAGGTTACTGGTTTCAGTAGGTTACTGGTTTCAGCAGGTTACTGGTTTCAGTAGGTTACTGGTTTCAACAGGTTACTGGTTTCAGGAGGTTACTGGTTTCAGCAGGTTACTGGTTTCAGTAGGTTACTGGTTTCAGCAGGTTACTGGTTTCAGCAGGTTACTGGTTTCAGGAGGTTACTGGTTTCAGTAGGTTACTGGTTTCAGCAGGTTACTGGTTTCAGCAGTTTACTGGTTTCAGTAGGTTACTGGTTTCAGGTTACTGGTTTCAGCAGGTTACTGGTTTCAGTAGCTTACTGGTTTCAGCAGGTTACTGGTTTCAGCAGGTTACTGGTTTCAGTAGGTTACTGGTTTCAGCAGGTTACTGGTTTCAATAGGTTACTGGTTTCAGCAGGTTACTGGTTTCAGCAGGTTACTGGTTTCAATAGGTTACTGGTTTCAGCAGGTTACTGGTTTCAGCAGGTTACTGGTTTCAGTAGGTTACTGGTTTCAGGAGGTTACTGGTTTCAGCAGGTTACTGGTTTCAGCAGGTTACTGGTTTCAGTAGGTTACTGGTTTCAATAGGTTACTGGTTTCAGCAGGTTACTGGTTTCAATAGGTTACTGGTTTCAGCAGGTTACTGGTTTCAGTAGCTTACTGTTTTCAACAGGTTACTGGTTTCAGTAGGTTACTGGTTTCAATAGGTTACTGGTTTCAGCAGGTTACTGGTTTCAGTAGGTTACTGGTTTCAATAGGTTACTGGTTTCAGCAGGTTACTGGTTTCAGTAGGTTACTGGTTTCAACAGGTTACTGGTTTCAATAGGTTACTGGTTTCAGCAGGTTACTGGTTTCAATAGGTTACTGGTTTCAGTAGGTTACTGGTTTCAGCAGGTTACTGGTTTCAATAGGTTACTGGTTTCAGTAGGTTACTGGTTTCAATAGGTTACTGGTTTCAGCTGGTTACTGGTTTCAATAGGTTACTGGTTTCAGCTGGTTACTGGTTTCAATAAGTTACTGGTTTCAACAGGTTACTGGTTTCAGTAGGTTACTGGTTTCAATAGGTTACTGGTTTCAATAGGTTACTGGTTTCAGCAGGTTACTTGTTTCAATAGGTTACTGGTTTCAGCAGGTTACTGGTTTCAGTAGGTTACTGGTTTCAATAAGTTACTGGTTTCAACAGGTTACTGGTTTCAGTAGGTTACTGGTTTCAATAGGTTACTGGTTTCAATAGGTTACTGGTTTCAGTAGGTTACTGGTTTCAATAGGTTACTGGTTTCAGCAGGTTACTGGTTTCAATAGGTTACTGGTTTCAACAGGTTACTGGTTTCAACAGGTTACTGGTTTCAGTAGGTTACTGGTTTGAGCAGGTTACTGGTTTCAGTAGGTTACTGGTTTGAGCAGGTTACTGGTTTGAGCAGGTTACTGGTTTGAGCAGGTTACTGGTTTCAGTAGGTTACTGGTTTGAGCAGGTTACTGGTTTCAGCAGGTTACTGGTTTCAGTAGGTTACTGGTTTGAGCAGGTTACTGGTTTGAGCAGGTTACTGGTTTCAGTAGGTTACTGGTTTGAGCAGGTTACTGGTTTCAACAGGTTACTGGTTTGAGCAGGTTACTGGTTTCAGTAGGTTACTGGTTTCAATAAGTTACTGGTTTCAATAGGTTACTGGTTTCAGCAGGTTACTGGTTTCAGCAGGTTACTGGTTTCAGTAGGTTACTGGTTTCAATAGGTTACTGGTTTCAGCAGGTTACTGATTTCAGTAGGTTACTGGTTTCAGCAGGTTACTGGTTTCAACAGGTTACTGGTTTCAGTAGGTTACTGGTTTCAATAAGTTACTGGTTTCAGCAGGTTACTGGTTTCAGCAGGTTACTGGTTTCAATAAGTTACTGGTTTCAACAGGTTACTGGTTTCAGTAGGTTACTGGTTTCAGCAGGTTACTGGTTTCAATAAGTTACTGGTTTCAATAGGTTACTGGTTTCAGCAGGTTACTGGTTTCAATAGGTTACTGGTTTCAGCAGGTTACTGGTTTCAGTAGGTTACTGGTTTCAATAAGTTACTGGTTTCAACAGGTTACTGGTTTCAGTAGGTTACTGGTTTCAATAGGTTACTGGTTTCAGGAGGTTACTGGTTTCAATAGGTTACTGGTTTCAGCAGGTTACTGGTTTCAGTAGGTTACTGGTTTCAACAGGTTACTGGTTTCAGTAGGTTACTGGTTTGAGCAGGTTACTGGTTTCAGCAGGTTACTGGTTTCAGTAGGTTACTGGTTTGAGCAGGTTACTGGTTTGAGCAGGTTACTGGTTTCAGTAGGTTACTGGTTTCAACAGGTTACTGGTTTCAGGAGGTTACTGGTTTCAATAGGTTACTGGTTTCAGCAGGTTACTGGTTTCAGTAGGTTACTGGTTTGAGCAGGTTACTGGTTTGAGCAGGTTACTGGTTTCAGTAGGTTACTGGTTTCAATAGGTTACTGGTTTCAGGAGGTTACTGGTTTCAATAGGTTACTGGTTTCAGCAGGTTACTGGTTTCAGCAGGTTACTGGTTTCAGTAGGTTACTGGTTTCAATAAGTTACTGGTTTCAATAGGTTACCGGTTTCAGCAGGTTACTGGTTTCAGCAGGTTACTGGTTTCAGTAGGTTACTGGTTTCAATAGGTTACTGGTTTCAGCAGGTTACTGGTTTCAATAGGTTACTGGTTTCAGCAGGTTACTGGTTTCAGTAGGTTACTGGTTTCAGTAGGTTACTGGTTTCAGCAGGTTACTGGTTTCAACAGGTTACTGGTTTCAGTAGTTTACTGGTTTCAGCAGGTTACTGGTTTCAGTAGGTTACTGGTTTCAGCAGGGTACTGGTTTCAGTAGCTTACTGGTTTCAACAGGTTACTGGTTTCAGTAGGTCACTGGTTTCAGCAGGTTACTGGTTTCAACAGGTTACTGGTTTCAGCAGGTTACTGGTT